TAAATAATAATAATAATAATAATAATAATAATAATAATAATAATAATAATAATAATAATAATAATAATAATAATAATAATAATAATAATAAAAATAGTACTAACATTAATAGTAAATAATAATATCCCTGTTAAGAAAATACATGTTCTCAAAATGTTAGGGTCACTCCCTAGTTATAATCTCTGTATTTATTCATATTTTTATTCCAAGCCTATTAAGTGACTCACATATTGTACATCAAACCTTTTAGAGCCTACTAATTTCAGCTTGAAAGTTAGGCAAATGCTGACAAGTTTCCCATTGAAACTTTTAAGTGGTTAATTTCGGTTAAATCATTATTAATAAGACAATGTGAACTTGACTTTTGTTGAGATAGCCTCATCAAATCAATCGAATAAATATTTTAGTGGGAAACTTGCTACCATTCATTCCTCAGTTCCTTTCCCTCAAAATCAGCGTGGGGCTTATAAACAGCCTAAAAATTGAGGGGGAGGGGAAGGAAACTTAAGCATGGCTCAAATGCAGTGGGTAGCTAGTCCTCCCACGGATAAAGCACTTCCCAAGAAGGGAACTAGCCTAGTGCTGGAAACCACTGCCATTTAATGCCTCTGGGGGTCGGCTATAATATACATGGGTGCAATTCGAAATGGCTTCAGATATTCTCCGAGGAAACGTTTTACTGTATGTTCTTAAACGGCGAAGAAGTTTTGAGCTCCTTCAGGAGATCTCTAGCATGAAGGACGTGGGCATGGTAAGGATAAAGGTGGATGGAATCCGCAGCTACTACCATAAGTACGGGACGAGGCTGCTTCTTACTCTCGGGCGCTGCACTTACTAAGGAGTGCTGAGGAAAGGCACCGTGATCCGCATATACTTGAGTTAGAGCTGTAGCAGTTAGAGCTACAGAGGGTGAGAACAACGGAGCCTGGCGCCCTCTCAGCCACTCTCCAATCAGTAGTCAGCTTTCTGAATGGCTGGTATTGGGGTGCTGCTCTCTAGAGAAAAAAAAAGGTAAAACTTAAAACAGGTTTCATTTTTCAAAAGGAGAATCAGCAAGCAAAAAGCGACAATATGCAGAATCATTGCTTGGCCAATGTAACGAAGAACACCTTGCACACGATTCCTTTTTTCTAAATCGTAGTTCAGCCAAAAATTTTGAGTACTAAAACTTTTTAAAAATTATGTTTACGCGGTGAGAGGGCGTTTTTTGGTGGTGGTTATTGACAAATGTTAGGCTAATATAGGCGATCGTATACTCTTCTTAGCTATCAGATATCGATCAATCTGATTTTTATACGTGATATTCCTAAATTAAAGTTTGAATTTTTAACGAAAAATCTCCAATACTAAATAATTACTCAGGTCGCAGCAGTTTACTTAAACTGGATCTAGTCCAAATCCAGCGTTCACTAGTAAACAGAACACAAGCATAGCTTTTTGTTTTAAGCCTAAGTTTTAAGTTTTTCCCCATTCATTAAAAAGAACAGTCAAATCTGTTTTTGCTGCCTTTTAATATAGGGAGAAGGTGGGGGCGCTGTTGGCCAATCACAGTCTTGAGAAAACACTGAATTTCCCCCCCCCCCCCAAAAAAAGGCAAAACAGACTCGGAAGCTGAGCCTTTGTATGAATCTGTAAGCGACGATCGCCCTGGGTGTGCGCACGTCAAGTGCGTAAGGCCCCTCTTCGTCGCAGTCTCCTAAGATAAAGGCGAACTCAACGAAAATGGCGGATAGGTTTTCCCGCTTTAACGAAGACAGGGACTTCCAGGTACCGATACCCACGGCGAGAAATGGCGGCTGTATTTGCCTGTAGCATATGGGAGCTCTCTTTTCTTCCTTTTGAGGGGGGATCAAAGGAAAATAAGGATGCCCACTCTCGCTTCAAAGTGTTATTCCATATAGTTAAGGCCTCTTCGTTCAGGGTTTCCGTCACCCATTCTGTTCATCTTTGCGGAGCCGTTTGAGGTGTTTGTCCTTTTGCTGTTTTTTTGTTTGGGGGGGGGGAATTGAGGTTTCCCTTTCCAAGTCAGATTTCTACCGCAGACGTAGCTCCCCAGAAAGATAGTATAGAATCTTTCTCTTTTGAAGTTTAGTTGGGAATGACAGGATGCTCTTCTGTTTCATACTTTTTATCCGATTTCTTAAAGACAGGTTCTTTGTTTTTTCTCTTTCATGCATACACCTGACTCGAGTAGAGTATATATTCTGCTTTTATTCCCTTTAGCTTATAGGGGATAAGAGAAAGAGAAATGTTTTAGGATTACTAACCATATTTTATTGATCGCTTCCTTGCCTTCCGTCAAGGATTTAAATATTGTAGACGAAATGGCCTCCTTTTTTCTCCTGTATAATGCACACTTTCAGGTAGAATTTCTGGGTAATGAACGTTTCCAATTACTTTTAAGGGGCTTCTTATTGTAGGATGATTTCTCCATCTGATCTCCGTTTAATGTAAAAATGGGTATTTTATGGTGAAGGGAATGCTTTGGTAATAATCAAAGATGGAAGTGGAGATGTTAAAAATGTATTATTTAGTATTTTCTCTTTTCCTGTCCTTAGCATGTGGAAAAACATATTGTATTAAAGAAAAATAAGGTGCTGATTCTTGTTAATGAGGATATCATTTCTTCTATATTGATGATTTTGCATTTTAAACAAAACAATACTCCACTCACGTTTTTTGTAGCTTTGTAAAATCAAAGTTTTTGCTGCCTGATGCAGATTGAAGAATGGTGATGGGAAAGCAAGGATCAAGCTATATGACCTTTTTCCCCATCCTGTGTATATCATTAATTGGCCTTTCTCCATAGGCTTAATTAAGGTTACATAATTATGTTTATGTCATCCATTGTTTAGTTTTTTATGATTAGAGCCTTTAAAATGTAATGCTAATGTGCTTTATTTAAAATGGGGGGAGGTAATCACTATAAGAGCTTTTGAAGTTACATATTTACTTAAAATAAGTTTATCTCACTTTTCTACTTGATTATGGGTGCCTCTTTTATTACTTAGGTTTTCTTGCCAGCCAGAAACAAATCTTCGAACAGAAATTTTGGGCATGCTACAGCAGTTTAAAATTGTCAAGGTTTTTGCTTATTGAATATTTTATCTATAATCATTTAAATCTTGCAATAGGCAAATAATAGTCATGATTACATATTGCATAAAACGAAAGCCTTGAAAGTTTAAGCATTGTCAAAAATCTCTTGAATCTCCTTTTTTGCACTATTGATTCCTTTTGATATAAACATCTAGATGTAGAGTTTATATTATATACTTTATATTCAGATTTCTATTTTTTTTAATGTTAGTGTTTGCTAGAAATGAGTATCTGTATTATCGTACCTTATACTAGCTTTGTGTTTGAAAAACACTGGCTATTGAGTAGATAATGGGCATGTGTGTATGTATATGTTATGTGTATATGTGTGTGTGTGTGTGTATAATTATAGTTCCCTGCATAAAAGTAAAGCTTTTTGCAGTTTCAGAAGAAAGTACTGCATTATGCTGAACCTATCTGTAATAGCAGTGGGGGCAGAGAATGAATATTGGCTTTCCTTTCTAGATGTCTGATGAAGACTGAAATGTGAACTCTAGTTTGCAGCAGAAATAATTCTGGAGTTCTTTCTTCAGCGATAGGACTTTATCTCTGAATTGTTGGAAACAAGAAACCATGTTGATACATGAATTGGAGATAGTTGTACATCCTCTTCCATTTCTTTAGGAATATTTTTAGTAATGGACATATGACATGTTCTGTGGGATGATAATATTTTAAACAGCTATCTTCAAAAATGCAACAGCCATCAATGTCTGTTTTATTGTAAAATATCTCAAAAACTTTTTCTTGCATATAAAAGTGATATAATTTATACAGATTTACAGTTATTTCATAAAAATTTCATAGTTAACTGCTATTTATACATTGACAGAGATATTCAGTTGATTGTTGGGTTTTTATTGTCCTGAAATTGTCATATAGTTATTAATATGGCATATCTAAAATGTACTGTATGTCTTTTAAGTAGAGACATTTATTATCTTTATTATCTTGATTTTCTTAATGGGATGTAATATGTAAGTAATTGGATCTTATTTTCTTTTTTTGGCTTGTACTTGTAAGATAATGCAAGGGACAGTTAGAAAACAGTTCTCTTCTAAGAGAGCAAGGATACAATCTCTGATGATCTAGTCTTAAAAAAAATAACTGGCAATATAGAGAGCTTCAAATTAGACCTCCAAAGAACACAAACATAGAACCTGTTTGCAACACCTTAAAGCAGCTGCAGGATCATATCACACAGCCCTAAAAATAATGTAATTCCTGTACACATGTTATTTGGATAATTAAAGCAATTAATAACTTGGTTGAACCAACTTGCATAAAATGATTAAGCCACAGCCCTCTATTTCTAAGTGAGAAAAATAATGTACTAGGTTTAATAACCAGATTGCTGTTAAAATATTTGCAGATAAGAGATTCATTGGTACTGCTGTTTAATAAACTAGTTTCATTAAAGGTACTGGAAAGCTATAAAAGCCAAAAATCACCCATAAGACTCAACCCTCCCCCCCACAGCCTGTGGATAAAATCTTATAGTTTGATATCTTTGATTGTTTATCCCAATGACTGAAGAGCAGGTCCCTTCTGGAGGAATAGCTGACCTCTGTGTACTGTTGACCTGTCTGGTCTCAAACTCTTTGCATCTGATTGGTTTTTCTAATTCTCATATAACAGTAATGATGAAATAAAAGTTGAGATAGCCAAATTTCTTAATTAAAACTATTTTAGAAGATTTTAAATGTTTGTATGTAGTCACAGAAATAAAAAATACTAAAGGTTAACTAAGCAGCATGTGGTATGTACATACCATCAAGATCCACAAACAATAACCATGTCTCAAATCGTGCTTATATGGAAAAAAACTATTACTTATGAGTCATTATGTATTGTTAATCCTGTTTTAATAAATGTAAGATAATATACTTCCTTTCCAGAAAGATCCCTTTTGATTTCTCTGCTAGCCTTTTCTATGAAAATAGTATAGTTTAAATACAATAAAACCAAAGATTAAACCTTGTTTTTAAAAAGTAAAAACAAAATAACACAATATCCTGTAAATGTAGGGAACTACACTGGCTTATTACAGAATTCAAGGTGCTATTTATGAAGCCCTGCATAGAGTAGAAACAGATTATACCTGGGATCTCCCTTCATCCCACATGCTGCAACAAGAAGGATAAACTCTGGGTCCCTTCTCTGAAATAATGTCATCCTGTATGATCCAGAAAGCTTGCCTTCTTGGTGATAGTCCCTGACCTTTGGAAATTCTCCCACCCAATATATTTATGGTTGGTCCTGACCCTGCAGACCTTTAGAAAGGCCCGGTTCTTTCTCCAGTTGTTTAATCAGAATGAACAGAGCTCCCATTTGATAGGGTACAATTTTTTTCAAATTTTTATTTACACATTACAAGAAAAAAAATGACAAAAGACCTAAAACTATATACATGCAAAACAACTGTATGTACTTATTGAAACAATTGTTTTTTTAAATTAAGGGTAAAAATAGAAAACAAAATAGAAAAAACTAAGAGAAAATGGTTCCCATTTTGAAGAAAAGGGTTCCCATCTTCAAGAAAGGGGAAAAAAACAGATCCAAGAAACTACAGACCAATCAGTTTAACATCAATACCTGGGAAGATTCTAGAAAAGATAATTAAAAAACAGATCTGTGAACAACTAGAAGCAAACAAAGTTGTAACTAGTAGCTAGCATGGGTTTGTTAAAAAGAGATCATGCCAAATCAATCTTATTTCATTATTCAATAAAGTGACTAAACTAGTGGACCAGTGAAATGCTGTGGACGTAGTATACTTAGTTTTCAGTAAGTCATTTGATAAAGTAGACCATAACCTACTCTTTGGTAAGCTAGAAAAAGGTGGAATAGACAACATCACCATCAGATGGATATGTAGCTGGCTGGCAAACTGTACTCAACGAGTAGTCCTCAATGGCACCACATCCACATGGAGAGAAGTAAGCAGTGGGGTACCACAAGGTTCTATCTTAGGCCCAGTACTCTTCAATATCTTCATCAATGACTTAGATGAGGGAATTGAAGAGTAACTCATCAAATTTGCCGATGACACCAAACTGACAGGAGTAGCCAACACCCCAGAAGACAAACTCAGGATCCAAAAAGATCTTGACAAATTTGAGCAATGGGCCCTATCCAACAAAATGAATTTCAATGTGGAGAAAAGCAAAGTTTTACATTTAGACAGTTAAAATCAAAGGTACAAGTACAGATTGGGCGAGATCTGGCTCAAAAACAATAATTGTGAGAGGGATCTTGGAATCCTAGTGGACGATCACTTGACTATGAGCCAGCAGTGTGCAGCAGTAACCAAAAAAGCTAATACAATCCTGGGTTATATAAACAGAGGCATAGAATCAAGATCACGCAAGGTATTAGTACCGCTTTATAAAACCCTAGTAAGACCACACCTGGAATACTGCAGCCAATTTTGGTCACCATATCACAAAAAAGATATTGAGAATTTGGAAAAAATTCAGAGAAGAGCAACCAAGATGATCAAAGACCTAGAGACTAAAACATACGAAGAACGGCTGTGGGACTTTGGTTTGGCTAGTCTAAAGAAAAGAAGAAATGGGGGAGACATGATAGCAGTATTCCAGTATTGGAGGGGCTGCCACAAAGAAGAGGGGGGTCACATTATTTACCAAAGCACCAGAGGGAAAGAC